TGCTGCTAAACGAATCAAGACAGTAGAGTGCCTTTCGAAGCAACATTAAAATCAGTGCTTGCCTCAGCAGGATTTGGTGCTCTTGATTCATGCCTGTATAACATTAAAGCTGAATTACTGCAGTTCTTTATTTGTAGTCTTCCTTGATTGTTTGCTTTTACTAATGTATTATTCAGCTTAAAGACTATTTACTGTGTGAGCACGCAGAGCATTGACAGTGTTACATTAGCTTCCAGTATTTGTAAATTAATTTATAAAAGCAAAGCTTTAAACCATATAAATTTGGATACATTTAAACCACCAATCCAAACCCTTAATCCATGTTCTCCTAACTTCTTTAATATATATATATTGTGTGTGGAAATCAATACATGAAGCAAACTTAATCCAGATATTTCCATTACCACTGATATCATGCAGTACTGAAGCCCTACTCATCCCGTAACAGGTGGTAGAAAAAGATCTAGAGGAATTCTCTCTAGAGAACCTCTCTTGGTAAGGTTTGTTTGGTCTTGATCACTACATGATCTCTGGCCCCTCAAAAGATTAGTACCAAGAGGCACCTTTGGCAGAGATGCTGACTGCGATGACATCTGAGGAATTCTCAGATGTGGACCCCTAATGTGGCTACTCAGTCAGACACTTTGTCCTCCCTAAAGCACAGTAAGGGTTTGCCACAGCTGGTACATAACGGCATGTACATGCCTGGGAACCCTTGATATATTTAGTAACAAGTACCTCTACCCACCAAGAAATAAGCTGAGATCTACTAACTGATTTTCAAACACAGAAAAGCTAGCAAAGGTTAAAATCAATTAGGTGAGAATATTTGAAAAGGGACTAGAGATGTGGAAAGGAATATTGGGAAATAAAGGCTTTCGCTCTTGATATTTTAAAGAAACCTTGCTTTCCACCTTTTTTATTTTTTTTTCTTTTTTTTAAGGCTAATGACTTAGGATTTTTAGGATTAAGTGCTGATTTAGGTCATTTATATCAGGAACGTTTCTTTTTAATGCTTCTATCCTTAGATTTAACAAACCTTCAGTATCTTTAAGGTGCAGAAAAACAATTTCAGAGATGAAGATTTATATTGTTGTTAACGGGGGCAGGCTCACATAAATAATTGAGCTGAACTTAAATTTCATTCCAGTTGTAAAGTGTCTGCCTCTTATTCAACTGTACTGCATTATTAGAGGTTTGTCTATATCAGTCATTCATAGCCATTGTCAGAAATAAATCACTAGATTAGATTGCGACTATGGCAAGCACAGGAAACGCGAGCTCTTTGGGAAAATAACGTTCCTGAACTTGATGGAATAGATTAATCAGAATCTTTTCCAAGGCATTCAGACAGATATTGGCATGGTGACATGAAAGGGGCATGAGTCTCCCCTCTAGCCTGTTTTCTGTTCGCATTTCCTGGTCCACGAAGAGCATAGATAAAACAAACAAAACAAAACAGCCAAAAAAACCCCAACAATCCCACATTAAACATCTATTTAGCATCTGATGAAACAGAAGACAAACTTCCATAGTTACTTCAAGCCTTATGTTTTCATCTAGGGCTTCATCCAAACTCTAATGAAATCAGTTCTTGGATCAGAGCCATAGATATACTGCCAGCACTGGGTTTTTTGAAATGTTCTTCACTTCTCAGTACCCACATGCACTCCACATAACAATTATTGATACAGAACAAGATTCACTGGCTGTCTCAGTTATTTCCCATCCAAATGTTGAACAGGGCTGGTCTTCCTTAACTGGAAAAATCAAGCAAGTTTATAACCTCGAACTTACTGCCACAGATCAGACTCATTATTCTAATACCCAGTTTCTAAAGACACTAAATTATTCTAGGGAGATTGCTTACCTTGACAAGCACAGAACTAGCCTTGCATACTGAGCCTTTATGTGAAATTTTATTGTTCATAGTATGACCTGTTAAGATTTACAGGCTTTATTAGCAGCAATAACAATTTTATAATCAACATCAGTAAATCGGTGCTCATTGAAAACTCTACAATTTTAAATTGTAGAAAACAATTAAAATGTCAGCTTTTCACTGAACATAATTCCTAACCTTCATAAAAGAAAGATATTCTGTTTAATTGTTGAGTGTAAAGCAGTGCAGTTCAGAATGACACATTTTTCTGAAAACACATTGGTTTTCGGCTAAACAATGAGTACCAAGCAACGCAATCATCATCTTTAATTAGGACCATGCTCACAAATAACAGGGTAAGAAAAAATGAATATACTTAATATAAAAGTATAAATCCTGTTTTGTGCATTGGTTCTACATGACTTCTGAACTGTAAGATTGCCAGCTCTAAAACTTTGACTCGAGTCTCATGATACTTGATGTTTTCTTTAAGTCCTAGACTCTGGAACCAAGTAATAACTTGAAAGTCTCAGATTTGATTAAAAATATGGATAAATTTTCAGTTTACAATTGTAGAAAAAATCTGAAAATGTGAATAATCCAAATACTACTGTTTTTAATCTTTTGTCTTTTAAGCAAATCTTACAGGCTTTCCTGGAGCTTTATGCGCAACCTACCAACATGTAGTTAGGCTGCCAGTTCTGTTTCAGTTACCTACGACCTGTAGAGCTGCTCTGTCCTTCACACCAACCCGCCACCACCCCATCACCCTTCTCTGATATTTTAGTAATTGGCTTTATGAAATGAAGACATTCCTTACCAATATCTCAGGGCCCTAAACATGAGTAAAAATAATCAATAGCTAATGTGAATGTAATAGCAGAAAGTTTTATGACAGATTAATGCACATTAGAGGTCTAGATACAAATTAAGCTACTCCCCATCCTTAACTTTAACCCATTTTGCTTTTGGTCATCAACATTGCTATCTGATCTTCAAAGTCTTTTGCATCCCCATTTGCTACATTTCTCCCCTCTTTCTGAATTTTCAATTGCATACGCTCAGCATGCTCTCCTCAACTAACAGGATGCATGTTTCTTTGCCTGGAGTTTGTTTTTCCCTGCTTCTTTTGTACCTTGAATTAGAACCTACCATAACGATAACGGAGATGAGAGGCAACAATAACCTCTGACTGGTAATTTTTTCCCTGTTTATCAAAAGACGCTAAAGAGCACACTGTAGAGTTTGAGGGTATAAATACAGCACAGCATTGCTGGGGCTGTGCCACAGCTCTAGCCCTATAGGTGGGCCTACAGTACAGCCTGAAAGTGGTGAATGTCGCTCATGCAGACAGACATACGGGAGAAATTTGAACTACTGATCTCAAGTCTTGCCATGGCAGCATCGGCTCCACAAATCTTCCCTCTAAGTACTTGGTATACTGAAGTATATACTGCTGTAGCAATACTACCATTGAGATCCAATTAGTTTAACATCAACCTAAATCAGGCATACGTGCACAGTCGGCAACTACCCAATTTGGGCAATAACAGTCTGTTGCCTAGAGAGACCATCTACCTGCATAGCTGTTACTCCTGCAACCACACAATAACATCTTTTGGAAATGATGGTATGACAGTGTTGTTTTTGTTTCTTTAATTGCTATACTAGTTTGGCCTATTCTTCATCTCTCCAAGTCCTGCATATCCTTCTGTTTAGGCAGGCAACCTGCCTCACTGGTAAATGCAATACCACAATCTGCAGGAGGGACCTCAGGAAGTCTACTCCAGTGAAGTAGCATCACAGCTTAGATCTAAAGCATTAGCTGTATCCCTAGGCTTTTAAAGATAGATAGAGACCTTAGAGTCTAAATTGGCTACGCAAAAATGCAAAGAAAAAAAAAAAAGAAAAGAAAAAAAGACAGCAAGTACATGTTGCATGCTTATCTTGAGATAAGATAAGTAATAGTCACTCCCCCTTACCCAGTTGTCCTTAGATACTAGCATTTTCAAATTAGAATAAATATTCCACTGTTCAAAGAGATCACTGGGAAAAGAGAGCTTTTCTCTGTGGTGTGAACATTTTACATGATATTGTATGTGCTGTTACGATCTACTATTTTGGAAGTTGGTAGCTCGATGAGGAAAAGGGGGACATTCATCTCAGCACTTTCTAACTAAATAATTGCATATTCCATCTAAAAAAAACCAAACCAAACCCCAAAACTTTAAAAATAATCTGTCACTTCATTTTTAAAGTGCAATTACAGACCAACATCAAGACAAAGGCTGTAAATACCCCAAATCTATTTCAGTCTGAACTCCAAAACAGCGAAGAAAATATATATATTGATTGAAAAGCATGAAACAGAGAAACAGCTTTACTCAATAACAACGCTGGATATAGCTGACTAGCTGAAAAACACTTTCAACCTGGAGAGCCCTGGAATTATTTAATATCACTGTTTCTATTAGTCTATTAGTTCTTTACATTCACCTTTCATAATTTCAGAGCAGAAAGATACCATCTACCGGCCTGCTTTTTGATAGGTAAGAGTAGTTTCATGCCATGCTCTCTCTCAACAATAACAATTTTTTTTTTTTTAGTGCACCAAGCGTATTTTTAAACGCAACCCATCTTCCCCCATAGAATAGTCTGGCTCCTACCATTTTGAAGCCTCCCCATAAGTTTCTTGTTTAGATTCAGCTTTGTTGACAAAAAGCATATTTAAAGCTAAATTTAAAAAAAAATTATTTGCAGTAGATTGCTCAAGAGAGAAAACAATCTATATTCAATAGATTTTTCAATAAAAATGTCATTTATGACAAGATAAAGAAAAATAACAATCTGTTGTCATTTTTTAAGCGTAACACTTTAAAATTGTATCAAAAATAGGAGTTTTTCAACAAACATTCATGACTTCTGATAAAACCCCATATTTTTTGTTATACTTATTTAATCAAAAATATGTATTTAAGCAGCCTAGGAAAGAAGAACAGTGTAACCAACACTTGACCTTGAAAACCACATGCTACCTAAGCCCTCTTTGTTTCTCTTCCCATTTCTCACCAGCAAAGTAGGTCTCAGCGAGCAGCAGTGACACAGTACAAAACCTCACCTCAGCTGCAGGAACTCCCTCAGGCGGCCGACAGTGGAGAACAATCATCCCTTCGATAGGAACCTCCTTCCCTTGTGGGTCTTGCTCAAAGTTTTTCCGTAAATCTGCAGAGAGTTTAATGCAATCATTCATTATACCTCCAGTGCAGCTTATCTGGATAAATATAGATTTCATTTCAAATGCTGGGACGTAGGTATTCCAAAACCTATTCCTCCTTACACAATTCTAGGTAGACTGCAAAAGTCAGTAACAATATGGTTCTGTCACATTCTTCTCTTAAGTACGTACATAAAGCACTGGACAACTGAAAGTTACTTCATCTTCCACAGAGGAGGAGCTCTCTCCCTACTAAGGGAAAACACTAGCACAACAGAAACTACATACTTAGATTAGAACAAGTAGCCCTGTGGCTCCATCATTGACAGACAAAGTAGGGTGAGAAGGTTCCCAGTGCAAGCAAACAACATTATATCTACACATTAATTTCAGGGAGTCAGATCCACACTCTGAACACATTACAGACTGGCTGATTGCAAGAACGCTTCTGTCTAGAAACCACATTACCGAGATGCTATGCCCAAGCTAATAATTCAGGATAAGAAGCAAAGCATATTATCTCAGAGTCACACTGATGTAACCATGGGGCTTCCACATACGACTGTTTGGCTAGATCAGAACAGAGGCAAAGGAAACCTGTACCTAATGACATTGACCTAACCTAGAGATGCCCATGAATACGTAATGCTTTGTTTGCTGTGAAAGGAAGACAAAACAGAAAGAACGTTCCTTACGAGATATGCTTTGAGAGTTAGGATGTTTCCATTAGGCATAGTCATTTTCCTCAGACACTGTCTCAAATTCCAAGTGTGGATTTACCGATTTAATTTTCTCCACTGCTTACAACTTCATGAAATACACCTCCTTAAGCAGCAGAGGCTCTGAATCAGTTACACTTTTATATATTTTATGAATACATTAAGACTTATTTTAGCAAGCTAGCCAGGCACTAGAGAAAGCTGCAAACAGTACATATATTTTCCTTTTTTATGAGTCGTCGTTAATGCTGATTTTTTTCACACAGATAACCAATCCATTTTTCAGTACCCTATTTAAATAGTCATTCTTTAAAACTTAGGGTGCAGTTGTGCCTAGAAATGTCTTTATTAGGACAAAAAATTGAGTAAGATCCAAATTCTCATTTTCTCTACATTCCACACTCCCCTAAAGAAAATTACCTCTTTTTTTTTTTTAAAAGAGAAATGTGCAGACTCACAATTCAGAATCTCCAGGCTCTAAGTGCAATAAGTATATAAATAATGCCACACTATGCAACACAGTAACAGGTGCTGTGGAAAAGCTCTGAAATGAAATAGTTAAGGGTTCTGTATGCTATCACAAGTTAGACCTGCACATTCCCCTCTCCTCTCTAGTCCCCTATGGGGTATTCTCCAAGTCAGAAATCCATTCCCCAAATTAAGCAGTTAGGTTGTTCACCTGAGATAGGATGACACAGGTCCATTAGAGGGTGAGCCTTGAAAATTCATGGTGGGGGGTTTATAGACATCCATTGGCAGCTATTCATTTCTTTCCATCTGGACTACTAACAAATCCTCTCATCTCTGCGCTCAAGAAGTGCTGTTCTCTTTTCATAAAAAATATGGCTCTAAGTAAAAGTAGTAGAGCAAATGACCAGTAGAAGAATACCATTCTCAGGCAAAGCATTCAGCCACAGTCAGTACGTTACATAAAGCAGAAATGAAGAGCATTCTCTGGAGTGCCTGCTAGGTTAATAAGGTATCTGCAGTTACGGTTGGCAGCTGGGGACGTGGTTGCAGAAGATCTGGTACCAAAGTGATGGGTTTAAAAGTCCCAACACACGACTCCACCTGTTTCTGCTCATTCTGTTTTTCTCTCATATTGCCACATTATGGGGTTGGGAAATGACAGTGCTGAGAAAAGTCAATAAAAATTCAATTCAGAATAATAGTCCTTTGCAGCTCAGCAATATGAGGGAATTATCAGCTCATTATGATAGCTAATGCAGTGAAATAAAAAATTGAATGTACACATATTTACACATTCAAACTACATCAGCCAACAAAAAATCTGTCATTTATAAAATCAAGGGGTTGTTACACGGTCTATTACTTAACCCAAGTGTTTTATTTTCAGTTATCCTGCTAAAAGAGCATAATTGTAGGAAAGAGAGTCATCAATAATTGCTCGAACAGTATCCAAATTGCCATTCAGAGTTCCTTGCTTGATCACCCCCACTGCATCCAAAAAAAGTTTCTCTCCCATCTTTTTACAGTTTGTTGCCATCATTTCTTGGGACTAGGCCTTTAAAGGCCTGAACTGGTGATTTAAAGGAAAAGGGTTCATAAGAGTTTGGGGGAAAGCGTTTTCCTGAATTCGCTGCTAGCATGTTGCAAAAAGATGGTTCAGGCTCTGATTCTATTAGAACAATGTGGCAGATCTAATTGCAAAATAAAAATTGGATGAGGCTTTGAGTATCTCCACAGTCTCATAAAACTGTATTATAACAATTTTATTTGGGTTCTGTCCTTTTGATATCCCTCTTGCTATGATGGCATTTATTGCATTTTCCATTTTTCTTATTTCAAATAATAATCTGTGAGTGATAACACTACAGCGTACTATTGCAGATATGAAGACCAGAGATGGACTGAGCCTGAACACTTTTTACCTGGGACAAATGTCCTCTACTCCTCTACTCCCCACTATATTAAAAATTCTGGAATTATTCTTCTGTGCTAAAAGCGATGATCTTACAAAAAAAAAAAAACCCAAACACAACTACACGCAAACACACCCACACACCCCCCTTAAGTAATCTATAGTGTTATTTAAATGTAACATTTGTCAGCCTACAAGAGCCTGTAATACCATAGCTACTCCCTCTATTTAAAATACGAAGCAATGATGCTCCCTAGTCAAACAGGTACGGCAACTACCGTAACCACATGGCCTTCATCAAAATTATCATTGGTAATTAATCTGTCTGTTTGGTATGACTTGGAAAGAGAGTCATTAACTGAATAATTCACTACTCTGCTTCGCTGGATTCCTTTCTAATCCCATTAGGACAAGCATGGTTTGTAAGTAGTTTAAAAGCTCAGCCTAACTATGTAGGTTCAACTTTTTAAATATCGGTTATCACATCGTGTGTTTGACACAGCTCCATAGGCTGCATCACAGGCTCCAAGGTCAAAGCAGAAGGAATGGGAAAAAGCAGTTGTTACCATCCTGGTAACGCACAAGCCTCACATCCATTCCCATCTGCCTCTGGTGACATTAGGTGACAACCAGGATGGCAGTGAGATGGAATCATCCTACTAGCCAAAAGTCCAACAAAGAGGATTTTTATTAGCTTGCTTTCCCCACAGGGAGACCTGATCCTCTGGTGTAAATGGGAAGCATGTGCTGAACTTATAACTTCTTCATGACACATGCAATACATAGCCTGACTTTGAGAAGCTTTTGTCTGAATTTCCAGTCCACCGATGAAATGCAAAAACAATAGTTTCCCCTTGTTACTTTAAAAAACTATTTCTAATCCTCTTTAAAACTTGTTTGGATGACAGATTAAACCACCTGATGTATGTTTCACAGCAACTATATAGTAAAAAAGTGTGAGACCACCTACCCAGCTTATGAGTAATTTTATTATTAGATTGACCTGACCTTTCAGTTAACAACTCTTATAAATGTCTATATAACAGCACTTGAACTTCTTTTGTTTTTTGTTTTTTGTTTTTTCCCTAAACAATGTGTGCTTAGTCCCATAAAGAAAAGATAAGTCTGAGTTCCGTTAAGGGTGCTTGTATCTCATTTTCTCAAAGAGAGAAGGGAAGATTTTTTTTCCCCCTCCCATTGATTGGAATTATCCCATTTTTCCTATTTTCATTTCACTTTCCCCTTACCTTACGACCCCTGACAACAATGATATGCTTCAATATTCAAAATCAGATTTAAAATGCCATAATACAAAAGATTCTAATGTATTCTTGCAGTTTTTCTGCAAAGCGTAGAAGACAGATAATGTTAAATGATTTTCCAGATGTTTTTAGACCCCTGTCATCAACATGGAGCAAAACAGCACTTTCCAGAGGATTTTCAATTTGTATTAACCTTTCTTAATACATTGCATTGTTGCAACATTATGCATACGCAGCCCAGGCAGAATCTCTGAGAAAAAGAGACTTGCTGAGTATAAATGCAAATCAATCAATGCACATTAAAATAAAAGGGAGCTCTGAAAAAAAATATGGTATGCTTTCTGTGACGTTCCTACAGTATCTCATAGTGAGGACTTGCAATCACAGCAGTGCCTCACCTGTATCAATTTACACATATACACATATACATACATACGTATTTATATGTATATATAAAAACCTCTAAAGAACACTATTTTGTCATACCTTACAAAACCTAGAAAAGCAGAACATTTGCTCTACTCACAAGCTATACGGACAGATGCCTTCCTACTCTTTGAGGTTCCTAAATGGCTCCATGCAACACACTGACACCAGTAATCTTCTGGCCCGTGAAAATCTTCCACTTGCTGTCTTGTCACGTTGATGAACACCTCTCGCACTTTCAAGCCTGAAGGGGAAAGATACATAAAATTAGCTGATACAGGATGTCTTACTTGAGCTAAGGTTAGCTAGGTTAGCTAAACCTTTTAATTAAACAATTCCATTTTTAATCAAGGCAAAGCTTTAATTACTTTGACAATAATATATTATCACTAATTAAATTCTAAAAGCCGATTAGGTCATAATACATTGAGTTAAAAGAATTACCCACCCACTGTGGTCTTTGGAAGAATATAACACCTCCTTTGGAAATCTCTTCTTTTGTGCCTTTTTCTCCCTAGAACGTTTATTTGGAGTTTTATAATATACAATAAAACTGTATTCCCAGCTAATGCTCTCAGTGCCCTTGAAAACCTATTTGAAGTACCCTGACAGGCCTGTCAATTACCCCCAATCAAATCAAAGCAGCCAGAACTATACAAGTATGACAGGAATTAATCAAATGACCCACTGAATTCCAGCCATCACTGATGCAGTTCTACCCAACCGCCATTTCCTCACATAGGAGAGAAATGCTATGCCCCTATATTACAGTATGGAGAAAGCTAAATTCAATCCATTACAGTTTGGAAGGAGGAGGAAATAAAGAGTAGGAATAAATGTCAACGTCCACCAACGCAGATGTTCATTTTTGCCACTCTATCCTTCTGGGAACAAAGTGAATCAACTACAAAACTGAAGTCTCATCTTTCTTTACAGCTGTCACAAATGGAAAAGTTTAAAACACCGCAGAGACACCTTACTTATTTTATACAGTTTCCTTCCCAAAGTTACCTCTCTGAATTCATCTGCAGTGCAGTGTTGTCTACTGTAAATTTGCTTGTTGTTTCTCAAAACAAATGCATGTCTTTCCCTACATCTACGCTCATGTGTCTGACCTGTATAGCTGCTCAGAGCTAGAACCATTCCTCTGAAAGCTCTGGAAAGCCCCTATCTCACTGCAGTAATTCTAACCCATTCCAAATGGACCCGAAGCTCACCTTTTAGAGCATGCTAATGGGGGAGTAAATAGCATTGATAATTTTATGGTCTATAAAGATTTTCTGTGTGCTTGCAGGAAGACTAATCCATGACCAACATTCTTTCCCCAGATGAAAAGTCTATGTAGTACCGGCTCTAGGTTTTTACAGGCAAAGAAATTCTCTAGTTGAGGCAGCTGGATGATTAGGTACTTTATGCCAATAATTCACAAACAAAGTGTTTGGTTCAGACAAAACTTTAAGACAAATACAGGACTACACTTTAAGGCAGAAGGGTGATACCGCTAAATTTCAGGAGGTTATGTAAACGATAGTAGTCTAAGGAAAAGCACATGGCTTTCCCTGTCTTTACTCCTGGCTAGCCTTGATTGAGAGGAGGGTAGCCAGGTCTCTTATGAGATTATGCTAATTCACCAGGCTTCTTCCAATATTAGTGAAAAATATATGTCAACTTCTTTTTGTGAATTACTGGCATAAGGTACCTAAACCTTTTAAGCTTGACTCCTTATTTTATATGCTTAGGATGTTGGCCATATCCGCAACTACCTTTATACGACAACCTTAGGGAGAGAACCTATAATCCAGATCTGGGTTAAAAGGCATTAGGAATCATTTGAAAGAGGTGGTCATAAAAATATTAATTTGAAATTGGAACATGCATGCCTACTACTTTGTTCTTTCCTTCCCGTGCAATCCCAAGATACTTATTTCCCCTTCACTGGAAATGAATGAAAACTCAATCTGAAAATATTTCATGCCTGTGAAGTTTATAAAGCAGCAAGAAATTTCTAAACCTAAACTCCATAAATTGGCTTTCACATAATCTCAGGCATCATTAACAGCTCAGTATTTCACTTCTGAAAGGCACTAGGAATTCAACCTGTTCCTTTGGTAAACAGGAGAGATAAGGCCCACTGCGGAGGCTGACCGGGGCGGGGGGGGGGGAGAAGGGCGGATGAGCCATTAGTACTATAAAGCAATACAAAATTTGTGCTACTTTTCCAGCAGTATGCAAAGGGCATTTTTATTTCATTTACTCTGTTTGGCTTTTCAAGTTTCACAACGATACCTGAAGATACGGCCAAACCTGTGAAAGCTACCCAAATTCTCTCAATAATCATCCTAATCATTCAAATATTTATTCACTCTGTAATAAACAAACAGAGGTTTCCTGGTTGTTTCTATGTGTTGTTTTGTTTTTTAAATATATCAATATGTTTCTCAACAAAACTGTTTCTGAAAAATCCCTTTTTTTTTCCTGCCACAGTGAAAACAAGCCATTATGAACTAAACAGAGCACGTGGAACTCAGCAGTTTTGTTAGAAGCTCCTCTCCTTAGTGACATACTGACTGTAAATTGGATAATGAAAATGCACCATCTCAATTTAAAAATCCAAGCTGCTCTGACAGAGATGAATCCTTGAATTCTCAGCCATACAACCACTTTGTGCAGTGATTTTTATAGGCTAAAGATAAGGGCACCTACAGTAAATTCCATTAGAGTACATCTGAGTCCTGGTGACTTGACACAGCACGTCTTAACTGGGTAAAGTTTAAGCATCTCATCATGATGCGTTATGACATTGACAAATATACACTTTCCTGATACTGTGCCTACGGCAAAGCCAGTTGTATGAGGTCCTTGAGTGATCTCAACCAAAGCTACAGAGCATTAAAGATACAGAGTTTCCAAATCCAAGCTAATTTGCAGCTATGTCCAACGAGGTTGCAACTCACCTACTTAACGTCTTCTTAGACAAGGACACAAAAAGTACTTGACAAATACTGGCAATTTCTTAGAAGAGAAGAGGGCCCGCTTGCAGCCTGGAACCACTCATCCAGCATTCAGTTAGTTGACATGCACTTCTCTGTGCAACCACATAAATCATATCAGCCCATACATCTATGCTGTCTGCAAATACAACCTTGCTCTGTACATTGCTGTAAAGGTGCTGCAGTCGGAACAGTTGCACAGGTCAAAAGTTTACTTGGCCACTGGCTGCACCTGAGTATCTCCAGATATTCTCCCATCCCATGATTAGCTTAGTCCCATCATGACCTCTTAAGTAGCAACTTCCTGGGGAAGAGATTGCTCCCTATCACCAGCCACTAACCACAACATTGCTGAAAGTGCTAGCATGCACCTACCTGGCTATGATACACTGTCTTCTGACCTCTCTCAGTTTTTGAGTAATACATAATATAGAGGATTATCTCCTTACCAAACTAGGTGTGTGGCTCAGCAAAGCTTCCTGGTGCATCCATGCTAGTAACAACAGTGCCTTTACTGATACTGAACAAAAAAGTTGTCACGCATACAAGAGGAGCGGGAGTCATTCCTAGGCACATTATTACTGTAAAATTCTGAGTAGTCATCATTCTGAATACAGACATCTACAGCTCCAGATTTGTTAAGGTAGAAAATCTCCAGCCTAGCTCTACCTTTCATCGATACGTTATTTAATTAACATATAGAAGCCTATGTTTTCTGAATCAACTAGCATTTCATGCGTCTTCAATGAAGCAACCCAAAAGTGCATGATTTTCAGAGGCTGGGAAGTTCAGCACTTTGAGAATGCGAGGGGTAGGAATTCAACCCCTTTTAAAGGTCTCTCAATTTGTCAATACACAAAATAGATGCATCCAAAATAACAAAGTCACAGAACTGTTGAGGCTACAATGGACCTCTGGAGCGCATCTCGTCATTGGGGAAAGTTATGCTCTGTACACAAGAAGTAAATCTATTTTAATTTCTTTTAGAAGCAACTACAGAAAGCAAAGCAAAATTGGGGACAGAGGTGTATGTTCTCTGTTTATCATCACTATAGTTCACCAAACAGATATATTCACCTACCCTCTGCATCTAAAGAGATGGAAAAAAAAAATTATTCATAGAAAATGACACAGAATGAAATATCCATGCAAATAAAAACAGGCATGTCATGAACAAGAGCAACACTGTACCTGCAACTTGTGTAACTCTAATAAGCACGGCAAGTCCAACCCTTTAAATTATTGTGCAAATTATAACCGTCATCTTTTGTTATACGGTACAGCCTTAACAGAATATAAAATTATGACTATGGTAAAATTATGATATGCTAATAAGATTTCTGCACTGTTGGATGGTTTAGCTGCAGATAGACTAATGCTGGCAGCAGATGAATAATTGCTCTCTATGTACTAAACATAACAGAGCTGCACAGAACTTGAACATTTGTCAGCTTTATTTGTTTAAATGAGAAAAATGCTGACAGCAGTTATTGCTGTAATCCTTCTATTTATCAAGCAAGAAAATTCTAGTTACTCTTAGCAGGTCTGATCCTGGGGGAAAAGCAAAAGTTGAAATATTTTAAAATTAATTCTAAGGTGCAGCCTGCAATGTTCAGGCAAGAAAAATAAAGCAGAAGGAAATGAGTCAGACCATAACTATTTTATTTTTACCACAGTAGCACCTAGTAGCTGAGGCTCTCACTTTATGAGGCAGAGTACATACCGAAAAGTTCATGTCCTGTCACGTTTATGGCATAAACGGAAAAGGCAGGCTACAGATTACTATCTCCCTTCTGCAGCTCAGGAACTAAGGCAGGATAAGATGAAATGGCATGGACACTAACACACCAATTGACTGTAGCAGCGTAGGGGTGGGAACTTGTATCCATCCTAGCTGCAGCACGAGCTGCCTTGCCTGCACTGCCTTTCTGCACAGACACCCCCAAAGCCACAGGAGCAAAGACTTCAGTTCAACCCCTGCAAGCCCACCAAGACCTACAGTACATCCTCAGGCAGCCAGCATCTGTCAGAGCCCAGCACTTAACTACAAAGCCATCCTTCCTCTCCTGCTGCTCCTGATCTTCAAATTAATATATTGACTCCTGTCTTACTCTAAGACTATTTCTGTTCTATAAAAACAATCTTGTAAAATGGCATTTCATTTTCATCACAATGACAAAATATACCTATTGCCTACTAACAGCTGTACTTCCTGTCCTTTTATGGGTGGATGATACTGAGCTGTAGGTAAAATCCATCAACAACATTGTGCCTTCATGTACCACTGCCAAATACTTCTTGCATACACCTGACTAAGAGCTTGCTGGGACAAAGTTGTAGAGATGCCAAGATACATTTTTTAGGTACATTTAGCCTTAAATTTTTTCTTGTTTTGGAGCTTTGTTGTTATTTTAAAGCACTCATCTATATATCCTGTCAGAATTTTCATCTCTTAACAAATAGTGAAAGTGTGGAAAAGGACAGACCCATTTTCGTTTAGTGTGACCCCCTTTCAATTAATGCACCATTATCACACTCTTGCACCAGGGGCACTATTCTTGGCATAAAAACAAATGCAGTTTTTCACAGATGGAGGCTACACAGTAACCAGAATACTGTGTATGCTTGGTAAAAGACATGTTTATGCCCCAGACTTGGCTCCAAAAAGTTAGGACATTGCCATTATGCACATTTAAAAAAAAAAAAAAAACCCAACAATCTGCTGTCCAGCGAAGGCTGGGGAAGAGTTCCAAAATAATTTATGCACATAGACTTTACTTGCACTTTCATGTCCTAAAGACCATTACAGTAGTTTTCAGAACACACTGAGCTGTCTGGACCACACTTGCGTCCAGGGAACAATACTTTTGGGGCTAGCTCTGACCATGGGCTAAAATCGAACCTGCAACCTTTATATTCCATATCCCATTTTCTATTTGTGTGCCTCTACGTCTCAAGCCTCAATGTTACTGGTGCTAGTTAAAAAATAAAAATAATAATAAAAAAAAAGGCCCTAATGTCTAATGTTGCTTTATCTTTCTTTATTCTGTTATTAATCCAAGGCTTAGAAAACATAATTGCAGTGTTCACAGGACAGATTTTCATTAACCATATGGAAGAAAACATTTAGGGACGACATTTCTTATATATTGATTCAGCAATGTCTTCGGAAGTAAAGGTTACGCCTATTAAATTCTTTTCAAAAAGGTAACAGTAAAAATTAAAATTCATCCAGATTAGCATTTACAAAAAGACTTTAGTATGAAATATCTTCAGAATGTGTCACTTGCAAAAGAATGCCAATTACCACTGCCGCTTTAGGAGATGTAACTTTTTTTTAAACGATATTTTTCCTCTAAAAAGGAATTTCTTGTATTGATAGAGAGGATGTTATGCCTACACTGCTATTTCCAAGTCATGGAGTTGCCTAGCAATCTTGGAATTTAAAAGGAGGAACAAAGCAATAACAAAACAAAATTGTGAAATTACAGGATGGCGCAGCATTAAATTGGCTTGCAATACTTATCAGGATGCTTCTAAATGAGAAAGGATAATATAGGGCGTACTGGGAGTACGATAAAATCTGTTGATTATTTTTCAGCTTTCTCTCTTCTCATTCTCTCCTTTTAGGTATACAATTTTACACAATGGATTTCTCCCACTTAGCTTCATTACCTGTCAAACACCTATCATTGCTGGGGTGAAGGGAAATTTCAAGTCACACAGCATAGTGAGACCACCATTGCTTTTCAAGCTTTGTCCTGGCTGAGGAGTTTCATAAAAGCGTAGGTCTTCCCTGTTTGTAGTTCCTAGTATACATTACGCAATCAAAATATGCAACACTACTGTTGCCCCCAGAACTATAATTTTCTTTCAGAGAGCTCACCATCTTTGGCTCATGTTGGATCAAGCCCTAAATCTCCACTTTGAAAAGTTGGTGATGCATATTCAGTTTGTAACCAAAATTGCTTCCTGCATCCATCTTCATTTTTCTTCCTCGTTTTCCTCATTTTGTACTATGCCTCTTCAGCCAGGATGCGTATTTACCTTCTTTGCCTTTCAGTTCTGCCCTTTTCTTACTCCCTCTTATCCACTGCTTTCCCTTTTGCATTTTGGAAAACAGCTTCTCCCAGCTCTGTAAAGTTCTGTCTATATGGTACATTACAAGCTGACATGAGCTGCTTTTACCCAGCTAAAACGTGTTACCACAGCAGTGCAGCAACAAGCTTAGGCGGATACACCCTGCCCTCCTAGCAAGGCTTATTGGCTGTGCTCAGCGCAAAGCCGACATCACCATATGACTTAGGAATTAGAGCTAGCTCCCACTTCTCCATCTCCGTACAAGCCTGCACCTATATGCCATGCAACTTAGTCACATCCACAGTTGTCCTGTTTATCTCTGAATGTGCTCTCCTCTTCCTTGTTCTGTTTTATATATTACTGATAGACACTGCATTCAAACATATCCTTGAAAGTATACATTAGCCCTACCTGTAGTCTCATCCATGCTTTCCTCAGATACGTGCTCATTTTGATGAACCCATTCACCATTACACTTGAAGAAAATCTGCATAGCTGGCATAGCTTTGCAACGTAAGACAATGGGGTTGCTTTTTATAATGTAGGCATCATCTGGTTCCTCCATAAAATGAGGCAGCGTTCCAGGAGCAGATGGGATAGACTCTGGAAGGGCTTCACTGTTATCATGTCCTGAAAGGGAAGGAAAGGAAAATATACATTTTTCATGCTGTTCCACCCTATGTATCATCTCATTGAATCGTCTAAATGTCATGTGGGATTTTATTATAAGCTAATAACACCTGAAGAAAGCAACAGTTGTCAGGATTTTACTTGGTATGGCATTGAACACACACACACACACAGACGTACACACACATAATCACAATAATTTAAATGTAAAAGATGCGAAGAACATTGAAGCATCAGAAAAATCCATCATCGCTATACCCAATTTTATAGATGGGGAACTGAGGCTCAGAGAGATTAAATGAGTCACATAAGGTCAGACAGAATGTCTGTGGAAGAAGTAGAAAATAAACCTTATTCTCTTGAGTGACAGTCCAGTGCCTTAACTACCAGACCTGCCTTTCTCTCAAACACTGAATTTAATTTCCTTTAGATAGTTGCTGTAGATTTAATAGGGATCAGAGCGTTAACCACAGAGAAATACATTGGCATGAACAGCATTACTGTAGCACTCCAGCAGCGGAATAAGCAAACGGTGACTTCATGTGCACTTACAGGAAATTTTCAATATGCTTTTACGCTGATTCCATTTACTTCAGCCCCTTTAAGGTGATATAAAAGTGGAAAAGTGGTTTCTGCAGGGCTAGAGCCTGCAAGACAGTGAGCTTTCTAAGCTTATATCACAGATAGTAGGATCCAAGGGCATTCATTCGGCACTATATACATCTAAGTGTCTTATTTTCTGAATTGCTGTTCTCAAATATGAATACAGAAGCACTGAAATACAAGCTTCTCATTTACTATAACTCCTTTTATGGGGTCAAATCCTAGTCCCTGCAGTTAAAATCAGAAAATTCTCATCGATTTTTAGCAAGAATGGGTTTGGTCCCAGTGCATTTATTTCAGCAGATGGTCAGTCCTGTGAAAAATTTGAAATGAAAGAAGATTTAAAAGGACTGAACACACATAGTGTAGCCAGATGATAATAGAGGAGGTCGTAGTCTATATGCACATGAAGAGAATATAGTATAATAGAGAGGGGAATAGCCTAGGGCAATATATATGTTATTTCACTGAAAATAACAAGATGAAGTGAGATGAAAGGTAAGTTACGATGAAATAAAGCAAGTCTAAAAACATCCACAGATCTAGTAGATTATGCAAAAAGAAAAAATATTTTGTCATCACTTCTGCTAATAATATGTATCCCTCACTTAGAGCTCTGTTCATCTGTGCGGGAACATATATATTTGTATATGTGCTGTGAGATTATTATGACTTTCAAATGAGCTAAAAAGGGACCTGTTTTGCAAATGGCCCCAATGTTTTAAACTACATTCACAACATCATAAAATATTATCATAATTCTTAGCTTTTTACAGCTAGTCGTTTATGCAATTTCCATCTTGTCAATCTTTAGTAACACTATGTCCCTCTAGGCTTTATTAGACCAAAGCTTTATAGGAAATAAAAAATGGCATTATAAGAATTTGGAGAGGCAGAGAAATCCCACGCTCCCTTCAGTGCTTTGTACGCCTCACAAGGCAGCAACACCTTTGTGCGGAGGAATAGTGGACAATTCAATCAGGAACATTCAGCCTGAGAACACAGAATCTCCCATTGTTATTCCACCAAATTTGCTATTTAGGGTCCGACACAAAGGATGAAATCCTGGCCCCACTGAAATTAAGAGAGCAATTCTCTTTGCACATAGGATCAGGCTACGCTGTGGCTTCAGATCCTTGTTAACATGTTACTGACGAGCACCTAAAAGCAACAGATTCTGCACCTCTGGCAGGACTTCCATCCTTTTGTCCAGCTTACCTCACCAACAGATAAACTGAGTGAAGTACAAAATATTTTATGCTATCACCAGCCGAGTGACCACGAGTTGCAGAAGTGGCTCACTCCCAAAGAAAACATTTAATATAAAGAAATAAGTCAAGGTACATCTTTTCACTTAAGGAGCAATGATTCTCTGTATCCTATCCCCAACTGACTCACAGATAGGTATTATACTTTGGCAAGGTGTACTACTATAATTGCCTGAATTCACTCTTGTACCACATCTTATAATTCAGATGAAATTGGCATCTGGCAAGAACTTAACTTACTTCACTGAGTAAAAGCGCATACAATTCTTAGCAGAGGTAAGCAAGGCACCTTATTATCCTATACCGTGTGAGGTTAGGCAGCAAGGCAGTTCTTTGCCTCTGAGGTTACACAATCTGAGAAAATTAGCTACAGCTCTGCTCTCCTTGCCTTTTTTTTTTTTTTTTTTTTAAACGGAGATATTTCTTTTTTCCATATGGCTACCTAATTAGACAGGGAATGCAATCACAACCATTTAATGTATTGCAGTAACTGGAGTTTATGCATCTTAAATATTTATTGTGATTTATGATACACAAGACTTTCTTTACTGGTCCCTTTATCATACTTAAACAGAAGAATCAAACAGTAGTATTTCAGATACATTAAAATAAATGCCTTTCTGCATGTCAGTGTCTCACTCTAACCCTAATTAAAATGATATTTCCCGCCACACTCACTAAAAAAGCTCCCACGAATAGATGAGCAAAAACAGCAACAAGTGGTCTCTGCATTTCAAATTACATTGCCTAGCTCACTGCTCACCCTGATGCTATGTAAAATGAGAGGTAATGGAAGAGACTTATACAAGCTTCAGGAGAGGGTAAAAATTTGAAACAACAGCAACAACAAAAAAAAAACCTGAAGAAAGGAGTATTTGGCCCCAAACCTTACTCCACATTCATATCCTAAGCAGTTTGCCTGCTGCAATCAGTCGCAAAGCAAGATTAGACAGATTATTATGAGGCATTTCAACTCCCTTTTAAAACAATTCAGAAGTACTGAGCTGAAACCGGAAGATGTATGGAACCAGCCAAATCTATATCACATAACTCACCTACCTTACTGATCACTTGAACTGAATGCAATTCATTGTTTCAGAAGCGTGCTTCTTGGAGGTATACCGCAGAATCCCAGCATTCCAGAATTTAAAATAATTACACAATATTTATGTCTCTATAGGACAAGACATATACATATATACATGTATATACACTGACATGCAATATTAAATATTCAAATAGCAGTAGCTGTCACAGACCTTTCTCTAATTAGCATTGAAGTGACTATCTTATAGGAGTATAGTGCCTACACTGAAGTTCTGGCATTCTAAGAATCAGATGCTGCCCACTCTTAACCAGGCAGAACAACCTCCAGGGTCAAGTCCTAAGAAATCATATTTAGAAGGTCATTATCGATGTTATATAAATATACATGCATTTCAAGGCATACACTATTGTAATTGAGATTACTAGAATAGCTACTGATCAAAGCAAAACCTCTTCTAAAGTGTATTTAACACACATTTTTTTTAATTTAATGTGTTTTTCTGTTGTGCATCATCTTTTTCAAGCCTTAGCTTGTTTTTTCACATCATCTGAAGCCTACTAGAACTTTGGAAGGGTTTTGATTTCAAATTATTATGGCTTTTCATTCATAACTGTCAGTTTTCAAGATTCAGGCCATTCAAAGTTACAGAAAAACGGTTCTTTTAATGCAACAGTGAATGACAAAAGACCAAACAATCAAACACAATTCTTGCATTTTTCATTCCTGGAAAATTACCTTTCAGGAAGTGCTTTATGTTCTGCATGCTAGCACAATCGAGACTTTAAATCTTTTTATGACAATAATAGAAACAAAAAAGAAAGGGGAAAAAAGAGTTAGGAGCAAATACTAAATTCTTCTTTGGAATAAATATACTGCTGTTAGTTGTCAGCTCACATTTTAAAATCCTGATAGTAGCAGAGATAAATCCTTCGATATTTCAAATCTGAATAAGATGTAATTTAGGAAAAGTTTAAAGTGATATTTTAAAACAGAATGAAAAACTGTCAGTTCTAATTTTTTTAATTGAAAAGATCATAATTTTTAAAGAATTAAGTAATATTATTTTCTAGATTGAAAAAATCTAGAAAAAAATAAGTGTCCTAAACAAACTTAATAGCTTGCTGGGGATAAATATGGATATTCATTTTGTAACAATAACCATGATAAAACAACTACATCCTCCATTACTTTCAGGTTATAAAACTAAGCACTTTCTGCAACAGCCTTCATGTCGTTTTCCTAACTGAACATTTTCACATTACTGTATTTGAGTGCAAATACATCAGATCTAGGTGCTATTAAGCCTTCTATTGCAGAATAAGTTGAACTACTCTCTATTCCCTTTATCTCTCTGACATCTGTCCAAGGCAAAGACTCTTTCTTAATAACCTCACAGTCCAAATAGGCACCAAAACAAAGAGATGCCTAACACCTGGAAGCAAAGACACAGAGACTTTTCATGAGTAAACAGTCTTTTTTAAATTTCGATAGTCCAAGGAAAATAAAGTTCCAGAAAAAGTAAAGAAATAGGATCATGCCCCTACCTCAGTTCCCTCCCACTCATAATTAAGTTTTCCTAAAATCTGAGTCTTCTCAGAGTCCTGCCTATCTGCGGGTAGGGGGGAGGAAAGTGTTGTTCTTTGTTTTCTTATTCACAGAATCTCCTTCAAACTAGTTCATTCCTATCTTACCTGGGCCAACAGGGAGACACGAGTCACTCTGATACAAAGGCACTGTCTTGCTCAAAAGCTCTGTCCCTTCTGTTTCCTTTTCCCAAGTCCTTTGAATTTATAAACCTTGGCATTAGCACTTAATTTCTTCATCTAAGTTTTAGACCCCTGTAAGCAATTCAAAAAAAACCTGCCTTTCCCAGACTAAACCCACTGTTTCCCACTGTTCCTTTCCGGCACATCTATTCACTGTTTGAAAGAGACAATTAATGATGATCAGAGTTAACTTCTTACTGTCTTTTTCATGTATCTGATACTACTGATTCCTGTTGATCTTTGAACCACCTATGGTCCATCATTTGCTAAAAATTAAATAATGTCAACTGTCTTCTTCATGCAAATTCATTTTTA